CTCTCTCTCTCTCTCTCTCTCTCTCTCTCTCTCTCTCTCTCTCTCTCTCTCTCTCTCTCTCTCTCTCTCTCTCTCCAACGGGCAGCTGTGGCGGGTGCCACGTTGAAACGGCCCCTTTCAATTTGCTTGGGCCTGTGCGAAACCCGCCACCCCATAAACCTGCAGTGTCTTGTGTCCGGACCTCTAGGCCCTGTCCGGTGGGGTGAAACGACACTGAAAAATCACCCCGTTATTTTTCGAGGGGCGGCCAGGACCCGATAAATGCCCTGGGCCGCCCTCCTTTTTTTTTTTTTTTGGCCCCAGGGGCCTCCATACGGACATAAGGAACGGACACCGGACACTGGACTGTCTGGAACCTGGTCCAGATGTCCGGATGGTTACAGTAACCATGAAAAAAACAAACACTTCTGGGGAAGTTATACCAGGTAGATACCTAGCCCAAAGTCGTTATTTGAGTATGCCCTCAGTGAGGGGGTTACGGAAGGGTGTCAGGTCCATGGAAGAAGGAAAAGGGCAAAAAAAATTGAAACTGAACTTAGGGCGGGAAAGCAGTTTCGTACATTCTGCAAACTAATAGTGTGGGCATGCTCTCCTCCACAAAGTATCAGCGGCCCGTGGACTGCGCCTTGCGGGTCACTGAAACTGAAAAAAGAAAGAAACCAAGAAACACAAACAATGAAAACCTGAAACTGGCCACTATAGCGGTTAGATACGAGGCAGAAGGGCCATGCTGCCATGCAGTTTGCATGACTGTGATCTTTTGTATGCACATTATGTCCTCCTCGAGAGTAAAGCCTCACATTTTGTGCAAATTCTTGAAAGACTTCGCGGATGCTGCCATGCAGTTCGCATGAGAGTGATATTTTGTATGCACATTATGTCCTCCTGGAGAGTAAAGCCTCACTTTTTGTGCAAATTCTTGAACGACTTTTGTTTTTCATTTTTTTTTTCGAAGGGGCCCTCAAGGCCCAACTGCCGAGCCTCGTCCAACCCCCGAAAACTTCGGAAAAAGTGGGTAGACGGCCACTTTTCCCATTTTTCCCAACACTGGTGGAGGTAGTGGTGGTTTAACTGTTCTCCTCAAGATTGCGGTCCCTATCTTCGGTCTAAAATCAAGCAAGAAGTTGATTGACCCTCCGCTGTTCGTTATCCAACCTAGGGTCTAGTTGGGTCTCTCTGAACAGTCTACCCTGATCTGTCCAAAAACATCTAGCATGTGACATTCAACCTCACGCCCTGTTACAGTACTGTCTTCCGGTCGGAGTGACTAAAATGCGGAAAAGGCCCTGGAAGAACAGCAAGATGGGGTGTGCCAAGGATTTTTGGGAAATTGAGTGTGGAGACAAACAGATCTGCTGCGCGGGCAGGTCAACCAAAGTGTAAGCGATTGGCGTCATCGGGCGTCGATGGAGGACAATGGAGAAGGCTTGGAATTGACCGTATCGCGTGGTAAATACGGCGATGAAAGTTGAATTCTACCAGTAATAACAGGGAGAGAGTTTATTGAGGGTTAAAAGCTGCGTCATCAAGGAGAGACTCGGACGCGGAAGGAGGAAAGGTGAGAGACGTTGCTCAAAGCGTGTCAAGCAACCATAGTTGGACCCGCGGGCCGTGGCGGTAAGAAACCATGGAGAGTTCTCGACATATGGCAGAAGGTTACAAGCTGCATCATCGGGGAGAGGCGTGGCTGACGGAAGGACGAGGGAGTGATGATGATCAAGCGTGTTAAGCAACCATAGTTAGGAGCGGGCTATGGCAGCAAGAAATCGAGGATATCAAGCTAAATAGGGAGGAGGAAGGGTGAGAGAAGAGGGTGGTGCGGAGAGAGAAGGGCAAAGCCAGGGAGTTCTCGGGGTGACAGAGTGACAAGAATAAGGTAGGTGTGACGACAGTCAAAGGGAATTCCAGGCAAAGGTGTGGCGAGCATTGTTACGTGGCAATTGGCAAAGTACATCTGGAAGAGGTGAATGCAAGGAGTGTTAGGGTGGAGAGTTACAAGAACG